TGATATCGTGGGGACACTGCAATCACATCGAGGTCTGAGAGTGGTCCATGTTAGTTTCTGCGGATATATGAAATCATTGGATGCGCCTGGACAATGACCTACGCCAAAGGATTCTTTTCAGATTGGGTGGGTTGTGGCGTAGCCATGACTCCTCGCCGATAGATTTGCTCCGAGAGGCCTTGAGCTTGGTAAAGATTCGAAAATCGTCCTTGTCGGCTGCATCGCTGTGGTCCTCATCGCTGCCCCAATCCCAAGTCTCGTCAGCATCCGAGTCGTCCGAGGTTGAATCACACGATTCCGTATCTGAAGCCGATTCGGCTGATGGCGTCCACTGCGCCCAACCGACGATGCTTTCCGAATCACCAGTTCTCTTCATGCACTTCAACAGGTGTACGCTAGGGTCGGAGATGTACGCTAACAGGTCCCTGGCCCAACGTTGCCGTGATCTCTCTGAAACGGTGGTGGCGTTGAAATCATCTCTAAACGCAGCCAGGTAGATATCCACCAGGGCTGGAACGTCTTCATGGCAGACGGGCGATACCATGAAGGGGAAGGCGGGTTGGACCGTGTTTGCGGCATCAACAGCAGTGGACTGCATGGCCTAGTTGCTTGCCTGCTCGGCGAATTTGTGGTTTATTGTTTTCTTTTATTAATTTTTGCAAGGAGACAGGACCGGGGTCTGGATGAGCTGGAGATGAAGCCGTGAATGAACTCCTGGAGCGCTTTTGAGGTAGGCAGAGGAGGACGTGGTGGCCGCGGCATCCGACTTGTGGGAGGCTGTGTACGCGACACGGCGCCGCTCTCGTCATCGGCATGTTGATTGCCTGTGACCCAGAGGCAGGGAGAGCGGATTCCAGGATGAGACAAGCCATTCGGCATGTCTTGGACTTTTCTATTGACCCCATTGCCACGCTCAGAGACATCTGGGCACGACCACCACCGTTATGACTAGTTACTCCAGTTCACGACGAGCTCGCAAGCACAAGCTCAGTCCCTCTCCCCCTCCCCCGGTCACCTACTCTCCCGCTATTACGATAGACGCAAATACACCGATGTAAAGAAATGGGACCACGCTCGGTATCATCCGACCGATGCTAGCGTCTAGGTGACGGTTACTTGGCCGTGATTGGGCCCCTCGTATTTCTGTAACCAAGCGCTATCTGGGGTTCCCACTCAGCCACCACAGAATGCTTGCTTTTTGCAAAGGTCCAGCATCGTGTGGAGCTCGAGGTTCCAGAACGTCAAGCGGGCCAGCGTTTGTCTTGTCTCATTGGGCAATGCTGTGCACCCCTTGTCCAGTCAGGTCCCGCTTGGGGGCGGCTTGATAGGGCAACTTTAGGGCCCTTGATCGACGGTTCGGCAGCTTGATCCGAGACAGCTTGGCCTTTTGTAGATGACAGCGATGACGTTGTTATTGAATCTCATCTTACAGGCATTTTCGGGAGTTCAAAAGAGGAAACATTGTATCTGCAATATCTGTCGCGTGGGACATTGGGATGGAGATGAGGCAACCCCAGAGTTTGATACATGGACAGTCAAGTAGATCATTCACAAAGTGCCAACACAACACCCACACGACTCTGTTGTTGCACCGACCTAGTTTTGAATTTTTGTTTTGTCGCCCCCACCAATGTTCACGCTGTTTTCCTGCGATCTTGGTGTTGCATTGACCTGGTGTTACAGCTCGCTCGCCTAATCATCTCTGAAATAAAACTACCGGTGTCTCTTTTTGCATTCGTTTCTGCCTTGTCTCACCATTCCTCTGTGACTGAGCAGTGAATGAATCGTCTGACATTTCTTTTTCGAGTTTGCTTGAATTTTCAGATGAAATTCACCTATCGCTAGTCTGTACACGTACGCTGTCTTCGTTCCGTGACGAATTTCCTTGCTTCTCATCTTCATGGCATTCCAATATCCAGGATGGGGCCATAGATGGTTTGCTGGAGGCAGGTGTGACACCTCCATTTTTTCTTGATAGTATAAGAATGAGCTTCCGATCTTCGTTACAGTAGCCCGTAATCCTCATGATTTCCCCATCTAAACTCAGGACGTGAGTAGATGGAGAAACCCTGATGACACCTGGCAGTGACACCAGGAGATAAGAGGGATAATACTATTCTTGAACTGGAAATTCTGTTTATCGGCCACTTTCGTCTTCAGAAAGTGGCTTCTTTGTAAACCCTGCGTGTACAACTACACACCACTATCATTTGTAGCCATCTCCGGTTATCAATGTTTAAATAAGGCATATAGTAGGTGATCTTGCTCCTAGACGACCTTTCTCAGTTGAGGCTATGTCTCAGACTGATACTTTATATTTGTCGTCCCTATAACATAACATCTCTTCTTTGCTCCTGTTGCTACAAATGCATTGGCCCATTGCGCTACAATACGGTGCTTGACTCCTCTCTACGTGCCTTACGCCAGAGGACTGTTTTTTATGGCTGCTGTTCTCTTAGCCTTCTTAATCTTTGCGGTTCTTGTTCCCGTATATATAATGCACCTCTAGCTCCTTACCAAGTTCATTTAGGTGTTCCAGTCCAGCGATGGGGTTGCTATTCCTTACACTCCAGAGCTGGGAGGGTATGAAGCTCGGTCTTGGCACCATGGGCCAATAGCCTCGTTGCCCTGAGAGGTCTGTCCCTTGCTATTTTATGCAATATTTCTTTTCTGCAGCTTGGAATGTATATCAGTGCTGATTCAATCGACACTGGCTGCGGCGAGAGCGCGGGTGAACCCCCTTCATTAGCCTACCTATTATACTACCTTACCCCGATTAGGCCGTGATCAATCCTTACTTCGCACTTATCTTCGAAGTTTATCAACTTAATTAGCCCAGTCTCATCGTATGCCCGTGATGGTGAGAGTCGTGAGAAGCCACTAGAAATGAGGTGCTGTGATTGTTGAACTTGTCATTGTATCACGATGTAGCCGAAGCAAAGCAACAAGGGGGCCACTATCAATAGATCCTTCCGCCATAGAAGAGGAAGATTTTCTCCTTTAATCTTATAACACGGATATGGCATTTTAATCTCATCCATACCAAGGCTGCCACCGTTCATACGCTACTAGACATTGGGGTCCTGGTCTCACCGAGATATTAAAGAACTCCACGACAGGTCGTGCTGAATATCGCTGCTGTTGATATGTCCAGAATACAGTCCACTTGAGTTGAAGAGCCCGAAAGCTAAATAATACTGCCATAGTGATTCGATGTTACCGCCAGCAGGTTATTAAATTCATCAGAAATCTGCTCGCCAGGAGCAGTAAACTTAATATATGCCTTTAAGGCATATAGGTTATCTCAATTATGTATTCTTGACCTAGTATATTGCTATTATAAACTTGCCTTTCTTGTGTCGTATGAAAAGACAGCCCCCAATCATTGTGTATACATAGGCATAGCCCAACTAATGCTAACAATCACTCAGTTGGTGTGCAGTCCCGTGTTTGAATATTCTAGTAATTCCTTTAGCAGATCGCTATTTTCATAGTGGTTTATGCATTACCTCCTCTGTGGATCTGTAGAGTCTGGAGCGAAAGTAGTAGTAAGGCTAGCATGATCCTTCAATTTTAGGACTCTTGTGCCATTGATGATTACCAAGGTAAGGAGAATCTGATGGGAAAGTGAGCAAGCCAAAGATGTAGTTCAATGGTATATAAGTACCCGGAACATATCCGTTGAAAAATCAAATCATAGGTACATCACACTTCGATGCGTCGATCCTGGGTATTTATATCGTGGAAGGCGGTTTTTCGTTGAGTACCAATAGAATTCTTTGATAATCATCAACTATTTCGCATCAAATGTGAAGGGGCCACTCATGCATTTATAATAAAGTCTAGAGAAACATTTCCAGAATGATGTAGGAAAACCTGAGATGCGGGATACGCTATCCTGCTCTGGAGGTTAGTTGGAGAAGTAGTTGACGTCTTCTCGGACGAATATGCACGCACCGAACGCACACTTTTATTGGAACACCAAAAACACCAAACCTGAAAGGTAATTCCGTCGTGAACTTCTAAACTGTCACCCAAGAAATTGACTCCCAATTCGTTCTTTCTCTTATCTCTGAATTGAGTATAGCCGTGACTATAGTAGGGGAACTGATCATCCAACCATTAAGCCAGCAATGACAAATCTGCTTTCGAAGGGTAGATGACTGAGAGTCTGTCGTCTTCTATATTCTGCGTAGGCATACCTTTCTAGGGCTCCAGACTACTTCCTAAGTCACTGGGCAGTTTGTATCTACAATTAATGGTGTTTGAATATTGTATTGCTCTTAAGGTTTAAAGCGTGAATCATGAGGCGTGCCCCATGGGATGTCTCCAACACTTCCAATGGATTGCAATGATGGCATCGAAGGACTAATATGGTGACGTCCTGCACCTTCAACTTTACGTCCATTGTTAATCTCAGGGGCTGAGTAGGATTTACTTCTCAACAAGACGAGGGTGTATCTCAATCTAGCTTGTATAACCACAACTCCCTTTATTTCTTTTTTTTTTTCGTTTATCACTATGGGTTATCAACTTAATGATTGTGGGAGCTTCTCTTTCAACAACACATGTCATCAGGAGCGTCGACTAACTACCTACCAAAGCCATTTAAAGCAAGAAAACCATTGCACGTGTTCTGCCTGAGCAAAGGAGTAGACATTCTGTATTTCCAGACCGAGCGTAAGCTGAAGATGTAAATCAAGCACGTACTAAGCCATCTCACTACTGGCCCAACTAATTGATAACATTTCAAGAAATAAAAATCAAACAAAAGATCAAAAAGACAAAAAAAGAAGGTATCGAATAGCAATTACACGTTTCGATCGTGTGACCTCCGGGTTATGAGCCCGGCGCGCTTCCACTGCGCCAAATTGCTTTGCTTCGATGAGAAATTTTACGCCGTAATAGTAAATATGGAGGTCTAGATCCTAGAGAACTAGGAGGAAAAAAAACCATCCGAGGCTTGAAAAAAAAATAAAAAAGAAAGATTTGATACACCATAGCAATTACATGTTTCGATCATGTGACCTCCGGGTTATGAGCCCGGCGCGCTTCCACTGCGCCAAATTGCTTCCATTGGATGAGAGATCTGAGGTGGTAATGCGAACTATGTGTCCACTCATCACTCATGCCGTATTCTACCTGCATTTAGAAGAAGGGGGCGACTTTTTTCATAGGCAGCTTTCTGGACAAATTTTGGTCCGTCTTCCAACCCCATTCATGGACGCCTCCATCAACTGCATCGTTTTCCCTTGACTGAGTTGTGCAGAGTACATACTTGAATATGTGTCTAACTTGGAGAGTTTGTTTCCACTTCCAAAATCTCTCTGGCTTTAGAAGTTTCCCTCTCTACATCATTTGTATCATCCCAACTATCCTATATTTAGTTTGAAAAACAAAACAAATAAATAAGAAGACAAAAAAATAATGTAGTTTTAGACGTAATCCGATTTCAAAGACTTTCCTCTAGCCTCACAAAATTATCCATTTTTTTCTTAAACTACCAAGCTTGATAATTATTTTCCTCGTTAAGATTGTATATGCAAAGGCAACTGGTTTCGCTTTGGTCTCTCGGGTGGGATCAACAACGGCTGTAGTGACAAATCATGTCTCGCCAAAGTCGTTAATGTTAGGCACATCTCCATTTGGTTCAATAGCATTGCTGTCTAGTAACAAGCGCCTTATAGTCTTCATGGAAGCACTCTTGAAAGTAGATATGATCGAATATCAGTTTCACAAAGTTACTGGGCGCCTCTTGACACCCCGAAAACGCGGTTCTTAACTTCTAGAGACCTCTCTTGAATTAATCAAAATTGAACTATCTAATCACAAGAACAATAAACTATTTGCAATCCTCTCTCTCATTAGCATATTCAGGTACCAGTTTCTTCATGTCCCGTCATGTAACCACTCTCCACATCAACTGCAACCCTTTGCACATTCACAGGCCGTCAGGAGCGTCAGCATAACGTCTCCACACAGGATCCTTCAGGAGTCTGTCCATTGCAGAGTTCTCAACACCAAGCCATACCTCGATTCCACCCTTCTTAGGATCCGGAAGCACAACCTGCATAGTGTGCGTCACTCCGCATGAGGGAGGTCTCAAGGCCTTGATGTTATCGCCGAACGCGGGACCCCATTGCAAGTCATAGAAGGGGAAGTCACGCCACGAGGACTGGATCATATGATTACCTGGCATGTCTAGGAAACACATGGGGATCAGACGGTTTACATCCTCTAGACGCTCAATAATAGTCGTCAACTCGTCCAGATAGCCCTTTTCTGTCTTGGCGACCGCTCGTCGCGCCGTGATGGCCAAATCAGCAAGTGAAGCCTCATTGATTACCTGGTTGAGACCCAGCATGGCTGGAGCAAAGCCGAGAATGTTGCCAATGGTGTGCTTGTGGATAGGAACGCCAGCACGGCGACGCGCGTCAAGAGCGATGGCGGCCAGTGAGGGACCTCCAGGAAGGGGCACCTCGGGATCAGGCTTCTCAGCAGGATCGGAGAGAGCAGGGTGCTGCGCAACCATCGTAGAGCGCCACATCAATGCAGTCAAGACATCATTGGTTGAGACGAACTCCGGGAGCTCCTCATCTTTAAACAACTTGGCATTCTTTGGCGATGCCTCTTCCTTGAGAGCGGCAAGATTCTCAGCCGAGATATGCCAAACATGACCGTGATGGATAGGACTGGCCAACTTGGGAGGCACCTCGGTAGGGGTAAATGGGAGCTCAATATATTCATGGTGGTTCTTCAAGTCAAGCTCTGACTTGTCCTCAGAGGCCTTCATGATCTTCTCACGATCCTCCCAGGGAATATCAACCGGCTCTGTGATGGCAATGCCCTGAGCCCGACGGACGTCCTCAGAAAGAATCTCCACGAACTTGAAAGCAGTCGTGTGGTCGCAGTAGGCGTGGAGGAAGAACATGTTCAACAACAGGCCGCCGCGAATGAAGTTGGCTTGCATGAGGGTAACTGTCAAACGGTCACCAAGTTGAGGCCATTCACCTCCCAGACCCCGCTTGCATACCAACTTGGGGTCAAGGACGGAAGCTGGGAAGTCCCGAGCCTTGAGTTCAGCAAAGCTCGGGAAACTGGCATCATCTCGAAGATCCTTGACGGCAAAGTCATCGAGCTCATCACCATAATGACGGAATTGCAAGAGGCCAGCCTGCTTGCCTTCCAAGGGCATAACCTCGCAGCCAGCAACGGGTGTGCGGCTCTTGAAGCTAGAATAGCTGGACTTCAAGATCTCCGTCAAGGCATCGATGTCGTAGTCTTCAGGTAATTCAAAGAAGAAGATATTACGCACCCACCCCTTGGGGCCAATTTGCTCGGTAGGTAGCAATGGAGGGGCGAGATCTGGCACCTCCTCCACAGCTACAGTCGTTGACTCATTCTTGTTCGCAACTGCTGGCTCGCTGAGAGAGATGGACTCAATTGGAATTTCGATTTCCATTTTTAGGAATTCAAGGGGTTTGAACTAAAAACCGATCGTTGAGTGAATAGATCGCACTTTTTGCGTGTTTTGAAAGAAAAGTGGGAGAATCACACTCTGTGTGCAAAGGAGAGGGAAATGGAAACCGAGATGGAACCACAATGGCTTGAGAAGGATCAAGATAAGATTGGGAGAATAATTTAAAACAAAACTGAGTTTACAAATCAGGAGGCCCAACTCGGCAGGACGGGAAGACATATACTCTGTGGAGGATCGTACTGCCCTCTCCTTTGACGGCGGCTTAGGTCAAGCCTCCGAGGCTTGACCAGGTATCTAGAAGGAAAATGAAAAATGAAAGGAGCTCTATCCGAACTAACAGTACAACATTATCATCGCACATGTGCATCTCGAAACGCACCATCCACCTCATGCATGATACGATCCTTGCCCGAACTGTTGTTGGTTGAAATCCTTAACCCTGGTACCCCAGGAAGATTGTTGGGGGGTATTGCATTCAGTTGAGGCGAAGCCTGTACTACGCAGGATGTCATAAAGGAACTGTAACTCTGCACAGGACTTTTTGTTTCCCGACGTTGTCCGCATGTGGCATTTGCCATCGCGCTGGTTTGTTTCGATTTAGTCTGAAAGAGCTCCCACCACCTCCATGTGCAGTCAGAGAGATGTGAAAGGTGGGATGTTGATACAAAATAGGCAGTCTGAGGGAGCCCCTGCACAAAACCCGGCCATGATCTGTATGCCCCATTGATCAATTCACAACGGGCTGCCCCCGGCGAAGCCGCCCGGTTCCCGGCTCCATTGGACTCTTCCTTGAACGGGGGGCCGAGCCCGCCCGGCGCCACAACACCACACACGCAGGCTCCTCTCGGGGATCGGGGATCACGCATTTCCCCTTAAAACCAGATGCAGACTAACACGGGCCATTCTCGCACAACACACCCAACACACACCCCTCCACGGCGCAGCAGATGTGGCCAAGGCGCCATGGTAAAATCATAAGACGTTGTGCATTTGCTTGCTCTGGGGCATTGGTTGTTCCTAATTCAGTGTTTCAATACGACTTGGATTGTCCACCCAGTCCCCGGGGTCCGCATCGATCACCGAGAGCAAGGTCGGACCCTGGAAGCAGTACTTGAAGTCATCTCACTGTTCCTTGCATATGGTTCGAGGACTGTTATGGAGGGCTGCGAAGTTATTAAGACCTGTTTGTACCTGTTACCAAGAACTCGGAACCAAAGTCTTAACTTCGACCATGGTTCATGACTGACTTGACTACCCAATTCTGAAATCTTATGTTGTTGCTGTTGGTTCATATTGATTGCTCTCGTAACCAGTCGAGAAAACAACCGCGAGCATGGCCATCGACCCGCATATGGCGGCCATCTTTGGCCCGCCTCCAGCCGGACTAGACTTGGACGAACAGATTTCTACGCCTTACAACGTTGTCGTTTGCGTCACATTCGGTATTGCCATCGCTATCGTGGCTCTTCGTTTTTTTGTGCGAAAATGGAAGGGATCCGACTTATGGTATGACGACTGGGCCATCGCCTGCAGCACTGTGAGTGTTTGATTCCGACTCGGGTGGGGAGGGGGGGGCAACTGTTTTGTTTAATTTTGCGATGCAGGACTGACCGCGTCTGTAGATTTTCACCAGCGCAACAGTAGCAACCACGATTCTATGTATGTGATTTTGGGGGTTGGGCAGACTCGTTTACTTGCACCTGAATATGATATTGACAATGTCCTTTCTCTCAACTAGCCGGACAATTTGGAGCTGGCGAACACGTATGGGCCAACGAAATCGATAGATTCATTAAACTCATCAAGGTATGTCTATTCATTGACGAGATTGAATTCACCGATGAAAGGAAGTGGAGGAGACTGACGATAAGGGAAAACGGCTGCAGCTTGTTTACTCAGAGGTATTCATATACGGCTTGGCAGTCACTTCAACGAAGGTCAGCATCTTGTTGTTGTACAACCGTTTATTCGGATCCAAGGCGGATTCAAACCGCCTTTACAACTTCTTTTACAGGGCAGCGATTTTACTCACGGGAGTGTACCCTTTCATTCTCTGGATTACCATGGCGTTCGCCTGCCGGCCCATCAGTTTCTACTGGAACCAATATCTGGGTGCTAAGGGAACTTGCATCGACACTCACCTCTTCTTCCTTGTTCTTGGCATTGTCAACATGACCAACGACATAGTCGTTCTTATCGTCCCCATTCCGCGGATCCTTCAGCTTCATTTGAACAAGAGATCCAAGGCCTCGATTGTTGGCATCATGTTACTCGGCAGTTTGTACGACACCCCTCGGACCAGTTGTCCCCTCGTCCAGCTGTCAGGCAGTTTCAACTAACCCCTACAAGTGTGTGTGTAGCTAGTATTGTACGAATCTACTATCTCAATGGCCTCTTCAAGAACCTCGACGCAACATGGTGGATGGGTCCCTCCTTCGCTTGGTCGAGCATCGAGCCGTCTGTTGCCATCATCTCGGCTTGCCTACCAACGCTCGCCCCTCTTTTCCGACTTGGGCGAAAACGTGGGACCAACAGCAGCCCGTACTACGTGAGCAATCGGTCAGGCCAATCAGGCACGGGGAATCCGCACTC